GTAGAGCGGGGTGGGGAGCGGGCGGCGGGGGCACGTCACTTCCCCTCCTGGAGCCCGAGTCCTCACGGGTTCAAGAATACATTAGGCCGCTTGGGCTGCGGCGGCCTGCGGGTGGACCGAGGTCCGGGCGCGGGTCCTGAGCTCTGCCCCCTCTCCCCGCAGGCTCTCCCACCGGCACCCTGGCCCTTCTTTGCTTGGACGGGGTCTTCCTCTCCGCGGCCGAAAATGACTTTGTCCACCGCATTCAGGAGGAGCTGGACCGCTTCCTGCTGCAGAAGCAGCTATCCAAGTAAGCGGCTGGGCGGGTGACGGAGGGATTGCCCCCCGCCCGCTTTGCTGCTAGGAAGGGTGCGCCCATGGACACCCCTCAACCCCCTACCCCCCACCCCCACCCCTTCGTAACTGCCTGCATCGCCGGTGCAGACCTTGGCCTGTCGTCTTGGTAACCGTTTTTCCGTGGCCTCGCATCTTTCCTTGCCTTGAGAGTTCTCAATGTGAAGTCGTGGGAAGGACATACAGGGTCGGCTTTGGAATCAGACCCACCTCCCCTCCAAGCAAGGTTCCAGAATTTACTCTAACTTCAGGCGGGTTCATATCATCCCTCAAGCCTCGAGGCCTTTCTTCTCTCACGAATAAAATACTGAGTCATGGTGTTGAAGGGCTATGTGACAGTCACCTGGCGACAGAAGGGGCTCAGTCCCTGACTGTGGTAGTCTCTAAGCGCAGGCCCTTTGGAGGTGGTCTGGGGCCCAAACACGTAAAAGGAGCCCAGGGCTAAGTCATCCTTCACCCGGGGGTGGATTTGGCAGGGGGTGGGCCCTAGGGGCTGGCCTGTCGCCCTTGCTCAGCACTCATTCCGGTTCCTTCCTAGGATACTTCTTTTCCCCCCACTCTCCAGTCGCCTCCGGTACCTGATCCACAGAACAGCCGAGACTTTTGACCTCTTGAGCAGCTTCTCTGTTGGGGAGGGCTGGAGGAGGAGGACGGTCATCTGTCACCTGGACATCAGGTGTGTATCCTACATCTCCTACCACCCCTTCCTTGATTGGGGTCAGCTGGTCAGCTCGCCTGGAGGGACAAGCTTGCTGGCTGGGGCCCCGTGGGGGTGCTGTGTGTAGCCCCAGCCCCAGTTGCTGGCAGTCAGCCTGGAGCTGCCTTGGGAGTAGGTGTGCCTTGCTTGTGGCACGCACTGGCTCACATTCAACTAGGTACCATGAGCAGAAGAGAGACACAGGCAGACAGACAGACAGAAATGAAGCAAGAAGTGTGTGTCCGCCCAGTGTCCCTGCCAGGGAGCTTGAGCGCAGAGAGATGGGGAGTGAGAGCAGCCGAGGGGTTGACCCTCTGCCGTCTTGCCTTCCATGTGGGCCTTGCAGGGTGAGCATCTTCTCGGGATGGCTCTGATCCTGGGGTTGAAAGTTATGGATTTTTCTAATGACACAGTCTCTTAAGTACAAGCCTGATGAGTAACTAGAAATGTGGCTCTCTCCAACTCAGTTTGTGAGGAGCCTTTCAGGTGGTACTGTTGGGGAAGCATTGGGCTGTTAGCCACAAGGTAGGTGGTTCAAGCCCACCAGTCCCTCCTTGGGAGAATGATGAGACTGTCTGCTCCCATAAAGTTTTACAGCCCAGGAAACCTAGGTAGGGTCAGTCTGAGCTGGAATCACCTGGATGGCAGTGGGGTTGGATTCCCTTTATAAGCCAGGGAGGTGGGCAGGGAGAACTGACTGCTCTGGACCCAGACTAAGAGGTGGCCTGCAGCCTCCAGGACACTGGCTTTCTCGGGTCCTTTGGGCTGTTTTGAGAGCTACACACCTAAACAAGAGGCGTCTCCAGGGAGCCAGGTTCCCTGACCTGAACAGCATTCCGATTTGCTCCTCCCACTCGCTCCTCTTCCTCCTCCAGGCTGCCCAATTCAGACGGCCTCCCAGGCCCATGCCGCCCCCCAGCTTCCCACCCTGGCAAGTACCGTGGTCCTCGGCCCAACTCAAACCAGGGGGCGGCTGCTGCTCCTCGAGGGATGCGGGCTGGCCGGTGGCATCGCGGACGAAAGGCGGACCAGGCTTTGTATGTGCCCCGTGGGCTGCGCAGACAGGAAGGAGGCGTACAGCTCGCTTCACCGGAGCTCAAGGGAGAGGCTGACAGCGCCCCGGGAGAGGCTGACAGCGCCCCGGAAGAGCCTGGCGATGCTGGTGCTGGCGACCCCAACTGCAATCAGGGACTCCCTGGGCCGGTGACCCAGGCAGCAGAGGACCTACAGGGCCGAGGCCACAGTGGGGAGAGTGTGCCACTGCCCGACCCAGGCGGCACTGAGGCCCCGTGCCCTGAGAGTCACCCAGGGGAAGGAGATGGGCTGGAGGTGGCCGCGCTGCTCGGGGCCGGCCTGCAGATCTCCGCGGCAGAGGGGAATGCGAGCCCGCCGGAGAAGAGCGTGTCGGTGGGGGTGGTGGAAGAAGAAGAGCTGGACGAGGAAGACCGAGGCAGCGGCCGGGAGGATGCGGAAGATTACAGTGAGCTGCTGCAGGAGGTGATGAGGCGCTTAAGCCCGGAAAAGGGAAGGGTGAAATGAGGTGGATGTAGCTGTGGGTGGACGGGGGGTAGGGTCGGGGTGGGGAGGGGTGGCTGTGGACGGGGATGAGCAGGGCAGGTGTGGGGCGATGAAGGGCCCTTAGGACTCATGGGGCGGGGGCGGCATGAGGACCGTGCCAGGAATCGGGACTTGTGCAGTGGAGGAGGAAAAGACTGAGGATACCGAGTGGCGAGGCACACGTTGGTGGATTCGGGTCCCAAACCAATGATTTAGGAGCTGATTGGCCACAGACACATCAATTCTATTTTGTAAGTCTTAGCTCCCTCATCGAAGAACAAGAACAGCCAGAAAGCCCAAGGCTACATACATACATACATACATACATACATATATACATACAACAGACCGTGTGTGGAGCCGCTCTTAAGGTGCTTTGGGTTGGGGTGGTACTTCAGGTAGTCCCTGTGGACAGCAAATGGGGATTTGTCCCTGACTCTGAGCTAAGTCAGTGCTGCCCTAAATTGAAGAGGTTTGGGTTTTTTTCTCTTCAGTTTTCATTATTTCTGCCTTTTGCGCCCGTGAGGAGCCCTGGTGAGGTACTGTTTACACATTGTTGGGCTGCTTAACAAGAAGGTCGGCAGTTTGAAACCAACGGCTACCCCACGGGGCAAAGACGAGGCTTTCTTCTCCCGTGAAGAGTTACGGTCTCAGAAACCCGCAGGGGCAGTTCTGTCCTGCAGGCTTACCACGAGTCGGCATCGACTCATGGCAGTGAGCTTGGTTTTGGCCTTTTGTCGTCAGTATTTTTATCAGTCCGATCTTCCTTTGTCTTTGTGGGGTGGGGGTGAGGCCCTCCCTCAATAAGCTGTATGCCACAACACATCTGTCATGCAGCCTGCTAATGATTTGATGAACAAACACCTAAACCAAGAGACCTGGGTGCTTGCAGGCATGTTTCATTGTGTAACTCAAATACACTGTGAACCCCAAAAATGTTGGTCCTGGGAATGACTTCTGTCTGGAGCGCTGTCTTATGGGTCTGACCGGACACTGGCTTTGCTGTTAGGTTGGGGGGGCGGGGTACAGCTGGGTCTTGCTGGTATTTTATGGACGAGGAATGGGGACCAGACCTGGGTCCATCAGGTGGTTAGTAAGAAAGCAAAGCTCCCGCGCTTTGCTGACTCCGGCTCTCACTGCCTGTATAACACTGGGCAAGTCATCACTGTCGTAGGTCCCCAGCTTTCCCTGTGGGATCAGGGGCATGTGGCCTAAGGTCTGGAGGAGGATGTGAACCCCCAAGTAGGTTGAGTGCATTCCCTTAAGGTGCCGGGTGGCCCAACCCAGACCTTGCCTCCCTGGGCCTCCTCCTGCAGTGCCTGGTTGTAGTTTTGTGAGTTTTCGGCCCTCAGCTAACGGGTCTGCCCTCCACAGATAACAGACAACCTGACGGAGAAGGAGATTGAGGTGGAGAAGGTCCATGTGGACACGTCCTCCTTTGTGGAGGAGATGCCTGGAGAGAAGGACTTGGGCCACGTGGTGGAGATCTACGGCTTTGAACCCTCGCTCAAGACAGAGGACCTGCTGGCAACGTTTGCTGAGTTCCAGTGAGTGCCTGCAGCACATCAGCAGGGTACACATGCAGGGTGCTGGCTTCTGGAGAGGAGCTAGAACACCCCTTTGCTGTCGGGACACTTGTCTGCACCCTCCCCATGTCTCGTGACCTAGAAGGACAGGCAGCTCATGGGTGTGCAGCTGTGTGCACCATCCTCCTCAGCAGTTCTGCCTGCTGGCCATACCTGTGGGAGGAGGAGAGCCGCTTGTGTGGTTGTAGACATTTCCAAGGCCCTCAGCCTGGTCCTGCTGTCCCAGCAGCATGCTCTGGCCCGCTTTCTTGCTCACCCTCCCAGGCCCAGGGGGAGCTCCTGCAGAGTCCCAGGATGGCGAGGACCAGCTTTGCTTTGTGTAGGACTCTTCTGGGAGCTTGAGCAGCTCAGGGGTCGGGCTGAAACAGCGTGGCGATGGCAGTCGGCTGGGATCGCTAGAGAGAGGAGGCCTTTGTTCTCTGCGTCCCCAGATTCCTTTGGCTCGAGCCTCTGTTCTCACTGCTTTCCTTTTTTCTCTCGTTTTCCTTCCTCCACTTCCCTTTCTCACGACGCAGACTTTTTACCACCCTTTCTCTAAGGCCCATTTTTCTAACTCTTTGCTTCCCAAACAATCTCAGCAGGGGAAGCCAAAGTGGCTTCTTCTCTTTATCCCTGAAGGCGTGGCTGAAGCTGGGGAGGGGGGCTGGTGACTTCCTCAGAGTGGAGTGGGTGACCCAGAGAAGCTTGTGCCTGTCGGGATGCTTTCCCGTCCCCGTTCCCTATTTCCATCACACACCCCCTTTGGTCTGCTCCTCCAGAGCCCACACCGTTGGCTGGGGTGACAGTGCCTGTGTGTGTGGGTAGGGGAGGGGGCCTGTCCTCCGTGGCACGGAGTCTGGCTTCTTTAGCTTGGGGAATTGGGTGCACACGACATACTACTTACTGGGAGTGGCGTCTGTCTCTGTCAGAAGCAAACTGTGTGGCCTTCAGAGGGAGGCTGCAGCTCAGGTCCTTGATTCTGCACAGAAAGCTGGGACGTGTCCCTCACTAGGAGGAGTGGTTGGGGACTGCGAGTGGGAGGGAGCTGGCTTGTGGGGTTCTCGGGGAACGGGCAGGGCTGTTTGCGGTCCTGACCTCTGCCCTCTTTTCCCACACAGAGAGAAGGGCTTCAAGATCCAGTGGGTGGACGACACGCACGCCCTCGGCATCTTTCCCTGCCTGGCCTCAGGTACCGCAGTGTCCTTCCTCTGACCTCCCGTGACAGGGGACGCATCCTGGGTACCCTCGGACGCTTTGTTTTCCTGGATGGGACTTCCTGTCCCCAGAGTGCAGATTAACCTGGCCAGGCTGGTTCTTGGGCTCTGCTCCCTTCCAGCCTAATCCTTACCTAAAGTCACCATAGGAGCAGAGGGACACAGCTCGGAGTGCAGAGTAACCGCCCCTTAGCCAGACATGCTCATGCTAGGGACTTCCGTACCCAGGGTCAGATGGCCTTTATTGAGTGAGAGGTGACATTTACTGAGTCACAAGACTCTCTCCTCCAGTAAAGAGTTACTCTGAGTCAGAATTGACTTGACGGCAGTGAGTTTGGTTTTGTGGCAAGCCCCGGTTACTTCCATATCAGAATGAAAAGGCTGTTTTTATAGGTCAAACACATACACATGCTGACACTGTAGTTCAGGCTAATTCTCTCAGTTCTATGACAGCATCCAGACAAGCCAGACCTACTCCCATTTATAGATGAAATTGACGTTCCTAGAATATCAGTGGTCTATTCAGCCTACATAACCACTAAGGGTCAAACCCAGGGACACCCCCAGGCCTGACCATCGTGCTCATATTTTGTGTGCTACTCTTCCTCTCCCCACCCTTTCAAGGACTGCCTGGGGCTGGCTCTCTTGGGGTGTATTTATAAAGAGTAATACCCCCCAGCCCCTCCACCTTAGGCATCTTAAAATCACAACCTTCTGAACACGAGCAGGGGACAGCCATGGCTGTGGTGGGGCCTGGTCCTTCGGCTGGCCTGGTGTGTCAGACTGGGGAAACAGTATTTAGGGAGCAGTAGGCTAGGGCAGGGCGGGGCCTTGAACCCCAAAGGGTGCCCGATGCAGCGTGGCATGTATCTGGTGGGAGGGGCTGCGTCCTGTCTGTTACACAAGGGGCTCTGGGCCCGGGACTCCTGCTCTGACTTGCCTGGGTACTGTGATGGCCTGTGGGTGGCCTCACACAGGCCGTGTCTCTTTTCTCCCCAGGAGGGTCTTGAGTGGTCAACACAGGCTGCCTTTATGGCTCAAGACTTCAGATGGCAGGGAGTCAGCCTGTCTTGGTCATAAGTGCCACCTTCCTGGTACAGCTCCTGCCCAGCTAGAGTGGGGCCTGGGGTTCTGCACAGCCTTCTCGGCTGGGAGCGCTGGCATCCCCTGCAGGCCCGCCGACTCAGGCACAGGAAATGTGTATGGCCTGTTGTCTCTGGTCCAGCCCTGTCCCCAGGGGAGTAGGCTGCATGCTTTGTTGCATACCAGGGCTCCCGGGTCCTGAGGGAGCCTCCGGCAGAAATAAGATCTGTTGTCTCTCCATAGCGGCTGAAGCACTGTCCAAGGACTTCTCAGTGCTCAAGATCCGGCCCCTCACAGAAGGAACCAAGCAGTCAAAGCTCAAAGCCCTACAGAGACCAAGTAAGGGAGCCAGTCGGGTCTGGCGGAACAGGGAGCAGGGCGTGAGCATGAGCTCGCTGGGTGGGGGTGGGGGCAGATCTTCCCACCTCCACTTGTCTTGGTCCTATGGGACTGCTGGCCTGGAGCTGCCGGGAATAGGGTCCTTCAGGGAGAAGTATCCTACATTGCTACTCTGGTGTTGCTTCGCATCCACCCCCTCTCTGAACATGGCTCAGGGGCAAGCTTAGCCTTCTGCAGGGGCAGGGGTGGCAGAGGGAAGGAAGCCTGGCTTTGGGGTGTGGTCCTGGCTCGTCACTTATTGTCTGAGTCGGCTCCTCACTCTGGGATAAGCAGATCTTGGGGTGGACGGAAGCTTGACCGAACGAGCATGGGAGACCTGCCTGGGTTGGTGATGGCACCCGGATGTTCCTTCCCTTCCCCCCTTCCAGAGGACATGAAGGATGCTTCCAGAGACCAGTTTTCCATCTTGGGGAGGGCCCCTGTGGGTGGTAACCCGACCTTTGCCCCCGCCTTGTTGGCGGCAATGGGTATCCTGACGGAGAGCTCCAGGTGCCTTCTCCAGGGGACCCCAGAGAGCAGGCTGTGACAGGGTTAGCCCCTCCCAGTCCGGTTTCCAGGTGAGAAACAAGGGCACAGGTGCCACAGGGAGCCAGGACCAGGTGAAGCCCCCATGTGGGTGCCCCTCACGGTCCCCTGGCCCAGTGGTGGGCAGAGCCAGGCACCTGGAGGCGGCTGGTGGCCTGTAAGTCACCCCGGGCCTTTGGTTTCAGAGCTCCTGCAGCTGGCGAAGGAGAGGCCACAGACCAACACAGCTGTGGCCCGGAGGCTGGTGGCCCGGGCCCTGGGGCTCCAGCACAGAAAGAAAGAGCGGCCCGGGTTGGAGACGCTCGTGCCCTGAGGTGCGAGGTACCTGAAGCCTGGACAGACAGACAACCACAGCAGCCTGGTGGGGTGGTGAGCACTGGACTTGGCTCTGGAAGTGGGGAGAAAAATTAAAAGCTTCCAAGTTGTTATAAATGTGATTGCTTCGGTGTGCTGGTCTGCCGTGGGCCACTAGGGGGTGCTGGGTAGCCTGTCTTGGGGTTGCATGGGGGGTGGCTGCTGAGGAAATAATCATTGGGAGTGTGGTTGGCCTGGAGGGGTGCCAAGTCAAGGCATATTTTGCCCTACGACCTTCCCCATCCTCGCAGCCTGCTCCCCATGGCTCCCAGCAGATGTGGCCCCAACCCTTGGGTCGGTCCTGTGTTCCCTGTGGGTGGTGGGCCACAGTGCCCTCCTCTATGCGGCGTGGGGGAAACCCCTGTGACTGTCCACACACATGTCCCTGTGGTCCTAACTGCCACCCGTGTGCCTGCAGATGGTAAGGCGCCCGGCGTGAAGGCCGGAGCCCACGCAGCCGTCAGTACACTGCCTGTAGGTCGGTGTGAGGTGGCCCATCCCGATTTAGTGTCTAGAAAGCAGGGCGATAGGCAGTGAGCCCCTCCCACAAGTTTCTCTAAAGAACGGCTGATGGGCAGGTCGTTCCTCTTGTGTCTGTGACTCCTTAGTCTGCTCCAAGCGGCTGAGCTGCTCCTTTCCTGGGCTGTTGACGGAGCCCCCTTCCCCCGGCCCACCCCCATCTCCCGTGTCCACGCCAGGCCCCCGAGGGGTGCAAACAGTGTGCTCTTGGAGAAGAGGCCTGGCCACCTGCTTTCATAGAGATTCAACCTAAAACCCACGCCCAGTGCTGCTGGGTCAGATCCCACTCACAGCGACCCTGTAGGGCAGGGTAAATATGCTGCCTCTGGTCTCCTTTAGGGGAGTAGAAAACCTCTTTCTCCTACTGAGTAGATGATGGATTTGAACTGCCAACGTTGTTGTTAGTCTCGCATGGAACCCCCAGTTTGGGTTTAGTGGAAGGGCTCTTTTCCTAGTGCTGAGAGTTGAGGAAATGTTCTAGAGCCGTTCTGCGGTCACACAGGGCTGCCTGTGTCGGAACCCCCACTGCCCCGAGGTTGGCGGCTCACACCCACCCAGTGGAGGAAGGGCTGCCGATCTGCCACCGTGTGAGGCTGCAGCCAGGACACCCCACAGGGCCGTTCTACTCTAGCCTGGGGCGTCACCGGGAGTCAGAATGAACTGGAAAGCGGTCCGTTCTCCCTTCCCTCGGCACACGGGGCACTCAGGAGACCAGCTCTCTGTAGGGTCAAGCCAGGGTGCCCGGTGCTGGGCAGCTGCTGTTTGCACACCGGAACCCTGCTGCTCAGGCCAAGTACGTTGGCTCCAATAAAACCCACGGTGCATATCATAGACCTTTTATTTGAAGTTTCAAGTATGTGCGAGCGTCCGTGATGGCATGTGGCGTGTGGGGAGTGCCCTTGGCACCCCGACCCTGGTCATATAGCACCTCAGAGTCTGGTCCCCACAGAACCGCAACAGCAAGACGAGTCCCTTACACAGGTGCTTTGGTTTTTCTTTGGAGCCGTACTTCAAAGGCCCAAGCGTCCCGGAGTCAATGCCACTCATTATTAACATTGTTAGCTTCCAAGTCTGTAGGAGTATAACAACGGTGTCTGGATATAAGGGGAGGAACACCCCGGCCAGACTCACCGACCAGAAATCCTGCGGCAGCATTACCTACATGCGTGCTTATGAGAAACTAGACAAGAGGCAGTTGGAAGAGGGCTTGAGAGAGTCAAGTCGGCTGGGATGGGCCCAGCTGGAGCACCATGGGGCGGAAAAGCTCACACCCGTCAACCCCTAATTTAAGAGCATGGCCCTGTCGACCTTACTGTCTGTGGTGAGCTGGTGCTGTCAGGCTCAGGGTGGAATATGGCTTGGAGGGGACACGCTGATGACCAGGGTCAGTGGCTGAAGAGGCCTGGGCCAGACTGGCTTTCCGTGCCTGCGGCGCTGCCCCACAGCCCTGCGGACAAGCTCAGCCCCAGACCCTGAGCCTTGATGGAGCGGGTGGAGGAACCGGCCAGCAGCCCTTCCTCCTGAGGTGGATGTGACTTTTGGGGGTCGAGCTGGGGCAGGGGCTCGGTGAGTGAGGGGTAGTAGTTGTTGAAGGAGACGCAGTGTGGCCCCAGGATAGGTGGCGACCACACTCCCCCCTCTACCGTGTGGAGAGCTGATTGGTCAGGAGTCCGCTGAACTGCTCAAATTTCTTTTCTGTTTCTTCACTGTAAGAGCCACCTGAGGAATGGGAAACAGAGAGCAATTGGACAAAGCAGACACTCAGCCCTTGGTAGAGCCCCAGGTGTGAGCCGCGCCTCCATCTGGCTGCGGGCTGGGGGTCCCCCGTCGGCCCCAGGGCAGGGCTAGGTGCACGCCCGGGGTTGTGCACCTGTTGAGGGGATGAACAGACACATGCGGTGCTCTTCGTGTTCACCGTCACCCAGCGTGAGGGCTGTCACGATTGCCGCAGAAGAGAAAGTGCTGCTTCTCTCCGTCTCTTCCCTGGCTCAGATGACCCAAGGAAAAGGCCTTTTTGGCGGACACTAGCCCCTGGCTCTTAATGGAGGGGGACCCAACAGAGGGAGCGGCAGCTTTGAGAGGACATGCATAACGCGTTGATGGCCGCTTGGTGCCAGTCCCTAAATGGCTGCAGGCTCTGCTCTGGGTGGTCTCGGTTCTGTACCTCCATCCGCCCTGGGCCAGAGCTGGTTGGGAAAACTCAGGCCCCATCCCAGAGGCCCTCTGTATCCAGTTTCTTTCCAAAGTCTGGAAACCAGACACTGGCTCCACTCCCCAAGCTCTTGGTGCAAATCAGGAAGCTGCCTCTGGTTCCCTGGGAAAGCAGGGCCGCTCTTGCCCACTGCCCAGAGGGTGGGCTGTGAGGATGGGTGGGGTGGGTCGAGGAAGGACAGAGGCAGCCCTGGGCAGGAAGGGACCTTACCTATATGGCAGTTGTACATCCAGATGCGGTGGCCGTCATAGCGGGCCCGGCACTTCATGATGTTGTTGATGTAGTCAGATTCTGCAACCTCATAGTTGGGGTTGATGATGACCTGGGCAGAGGCGAGTTAGAGGAGGCTGCTAACGCCCCTCAGCCACCCTGTCCCCAGGCCCGGGCTCTGCTGGACAGCAGTCCAACCTCCAGACCCTTAGTGACCTCATGGCAGGGGATCACGGTAGAGACTGGAACCCGGGACCCACAGAGGGCGGGATAGGGCTGAGGGGAGAGAGTGGATGCTGATGGAGCCCTTGAGGGAGGCAGAGACAAGGAGCATGGTCCGGAGTGAGACCTGTGTGTCTCTGTCCTGCTCCTGTCTCTCGGTGTAATATATATACATATACATATACATATACATATACATATACATATACATATACATATACATATA